TTTAAAAAAAGCCAAGAGGTAACTTTTCAGGTGTTTGGGCATAGGGATAAGATGAAGTAGGTACTTAAATATTAGTCTCTCACTTTACTGTAGTTTTGAGTCTGACGGAAACTAAAACTGGATACATAAACCCAGCTTCATCCTTGGAGCCCTCAAAACTTGATTGAGACTCAAATGCAGTTATAAACTCTCTAAGCATTCAGATAAAGCTTTATTTTTTTTAAATAAATTTATTTATTTATGTATGTATTTTTGGCTGCGTTGGGTCTTCATTGCTGCACACAGGCTTTCTCTAGTTGCAGCGAGCAGGGGCTACTCTTTGCTGTGCTGCGTGGGCTTCTCATTGCGGTGGCTTCTCTTGTTGTGGAGCACGGGCTGTAGGTGCGCGGGCTTCGGTAGTTGTGGCATTCAGGCTCAGTAGTTGTGGCTCACGGGCTCTAGAGCACAGGCTCAGTAGTTGTGGCGCAAGGGCTTAGTTGCTCCGTGGCATGTGGGATTTTCCAGGACCAGGGCTCAAACCCATGTCCCCTGCATTGGCAGGCGGATTCTTAACCACTGCGCCACGAGGGAAGCCCCAGATAAAGGTTTAAAAAAATCTGTTTCCCAGGTTTATCATTACCAGTCTTTTGATATAGACAATCAAAAGTAAAAATTAGGGACTTCCCTGGTGGTCCAGTGGTTGAGAGTCCGCCTTCCAATGCGGGGGACGTGGGTTTGATCCCTGCTCAGGGAACTGGGATCCCACATGCCGCAGGGCAGCTAGGCCCATGTGCCACAACTACTGAGCCCACACACCACAATTACAGAGCCCACGTGCTCTGGAGCTCATGTACCACAACCAGAGAGAACCCCGCATGCTGCAACAAGGGATCCTGTGTGCTGCTGCTGGGACCCAATGCAGCCAAATATAGATAGGTAAATTAATGAATATTTAAAAATAAAAAAGGAAAAATTATACAATCTGCAAAACCAAGAAAAACAAAGTCTTACTCAAATTCAAACAGCTCCTTTTTACTGTGAAAAAAAAAGGAAAAAAAGAAAATTAAAGATTTATATAGAGGAAGTTTAGTATACTAATCTTGGGACATGAAAAGGCGTCTCACGGCAGACAGCAGAAACATGGGCAATCTAAAGCCAAGAACATTCTATTCACTTAAAGCAACAAGCCTCTCAAGATTCTGGTATGAAATCTCTCTCCACATTTAAATTCTATGTATTGTTCAAAATACACTGATAACTACCTGATTAAAGAGAAAACACTATAGATTAAGTGAACCATACTACCTGATCGTCTATTATAGCATAGTCTTCCAATTAGAAAAACAAATTTCAGAAGTAATCCATTTGCTGCTACACAACGACTTTTAGACAATCTTCAATTGAAGTTAAAACCACACTTTCTCAACAGAAAAACTTTTAGATAAAAAATACTGAGGGCTACTAAAATCTAAAAGAATCATATAACAAGATTTTTGGCATGCTTAATTAATAAACATCAGTACGTCCTAGCTACAAAATAATGAGTTCAGCTAGAAAAGTAGCATTGCACTTGCAGCCAACAGTAATCATAATTAAGCTAAAGAAAGACATGTTTTTCTTGTCATCTTTATTCAAGTATTTCACAGCAGTTATATTACAAATTACAGTAAATGTTCAAAATTCCAGAATTCAAAAATTAAATAATTTATTTCAAACTAATGTAAAATGAAGTCAAATGCAAAATATCAACTTAACACAATTCTAAATTAAACTACAAACCCAAAACAGACCATAGTTGATGAAGTGTACTTAATCTGCAAAGTAGACATACATGACTGAAACCAAAGAGGACTCCCAAAGTCTAAATAACCAAATGCACAAAATACAAAAGATGTAGGTACAAGTCCAAATTCAAGCTTACAATGTGATTACAAATAATAATTATAATAACAATGGCATTCAGCTACGGGACCTGACACTGAAGATACCTACTGAATAGCACCATAGCTGAACCAACTTAATCAAAAAATGGGAAGATATTACCACCCCACTCCCTAAAAATAAAATCCAGTAAACCTACAAATACATTTATTGGCATATGAGAAAAATCAAGTCATGAAAGGACATTAAAAAAAAAAAATCACAGGTGAGATTCAAGCTCAAAAACACAATTAACTCCACAGCCATCAGTTTCAACCCTAGTGCGGTTCCATCATCTTCGAAAGGCTCCTATGGTCCCCACAGCTGAGCATTAATTATTGTTGGGCTGTGCCGTGATACATATTTTAGTGATCTGAGAGCAAGGTTCTACACAGGAGCTTGTCATTTATAATGCTCACAATAGGAAATAAGAACAGAGGTCAATTTGTACATATTTTTGCCAATGCTATACGGCAAAAATTAAGAACTTACAGAAAGGTAAACAAAATTGAGTCCACTTGGATAATTTCACAAGCTGCTTTAAACTATAGAACCACCAGATATCTGTAAAATAAGAAAAACTGGTATAGTGGGGGGGCGGGGCAGAGGAGTTGGTACAATTTCAGCTCATTTTTCTCCCCTTGGCATTAGATTGGCTTTCTCTTTAAGACCTAAACTGTTCAAAGTGGCAGTTCCTATCATACTGAGGTTGCCTCCTATTTCTCCATCTATATCAAGGTTAAAATTAAAAAACTTGATCTTTTGGAAGCATTTTAATGCTAAACAGAAATAAATTTCCCTTGTCAAACTCACTGATGGCTAAAATCTTAATTAACTTGTACAAATTTAGTAAACTACTAAGAACATGTGCATTTTTTTTTCCATTCACAAGTGCTGCTGTTACTTGAACAGAATGCTTATGAATTAGAGTAACTGGAATAAATATTTAAAGAAAAATAGTGCAGCAAGAACCTGAGACTTGCAAAAAACCCTTTTACCAGAAACTTGCTACAAAAAATCTGCTACATCTTATTTCATCAAATCTTTAAATTCTGTAACAATTTCCATCAAAATACAAAATGCTAATGTATTAGACTGTAAAATAGCTTGAACTGGTATGATGGTAATAAATACTAAAGTAAGCATGAAAATCCTCCCAATAATCAAATTAGAGGTTTTAAATAACCTCCCCTTTAAAATTGGTTCATCGTTAATCGCACTTGCCCACCTTAAAATACAGTGTGCCTACATGGGTAGTATCTTGAATTATATATGACTAACTGAGTATTTTGAAAACTTCCTAGGTATAAAGAAAACAAGTGGCATTATTTAAAAATTAAACTAGAATTAGAAGGCATAAAAGTTAATGTAAATGCAAAGAAGCACTTCAGATTACTGCAGTAGCCTTGGCCAAAGTGTGCTTTCTGCGCTGGCATCCAGCACCCTACAAAGCCAGAGACGAGGAGACAAGTACCTTAGCTTCAGCATGTAAACGGTGGCAAAGTGAATACAGAACTCTGTAGACACTGTTGGTAACTAAAATACAAAAAGCTGAGGTAGCTCATAATCTCTGCAGTAGTCCAAGACCGTTTGCTCTAATTAAAACCCAAACTACATGTGTTGCATATATTGTAAAGACACACCTGCAGCTAACAGCTATAATGAACGAAGATATCAAGAAAACTTGTCAAAATTTTCTACTTTTTTGTTTAAAAATCATCTGATAAAAAATGTCACTGCACTCCCTTTGTCTCTTTGCAACTGCCTAGACTGTGTCTCTGAATTTGTAGAAAGTTTTTGTAAAACTAGTAACCCATAATTAATTTTAGGTAAGTACAAGTCACAGAAATCGCTTAACAAGATCCAAAACAGGTTCCAATCAAAATGAATAGTTGTGAAGGTAAGCTTATGATAAGGGATTTAAACATTAACACTGTTATTCAAGGACCATACCAGAGCTCACTTGCAACTATGCATATAGAAAATGAATTTTATGGAGCTTCTGACAAATTCCTCTCTTTTCTGTCCATTTGGCAAGTCCTGGCTTTAAACCAAAACTGTAACAATTTATTATACATGAAAATCATTCTTCTCGGGGAACTCAAACATGAATAACTATTAAACTGCCATTGACAGAAGAAAACAGAATGTCACTCTATTTTCTGACCATCATTGTCATCCATACCAAAAAGGGTGTGTGTTTTTTGATGGGACTGTGAATTTTTTGTTGTTGTTTTATTATATGTTTGTTTCTTAAACAGAAACGGACCATACAGGAAAACTTACCATTTTAGTATATTATGTGGCTTAACCACTGTCTTGATCGAGTTTTGAAAACAAGATAGGCATTTTATACCACAACACTGGTTGCCCCTTAATGATACAGAGTATCAAAACTTATTTTCAGGGTTGTGACCAAAGAAAACATTCTAATTCATTTGCTACAAGTAAGCCCATCCTTGTGTTTAGCCTTATCTTTCTCGAATAAAAAGGCACATTAAAGGCAGTTCTAAAGAGCCTAATCTAATTTTATCCAGTTTCTTCAGTTTCCCACCAGAATATACCATAGCCAACTTTAAAACAGGCTTCAGTCCGTTACCCAGAAGAAAAAATAAAAACAAATATGATAAAAGGGGGGCGGGGGGGGGGGAGAAAG